TCATTTCGAGATGGAGAACCATACAAAGCAACGTTAGGTATAGAGTGATAAATAAACGAATGAAGAGGTGGTTTCATCCTAAAACAAAGTCTTTTCATGTGAGAGGTCGAAATAACAACGAGAAAAAACGAAGTTTCAAACTAAACAGCAAACAAGTTAAGGATCCTTTAACGAGCTGAGAATAAATAGAATTTCGTATAAACGCTCTCGTCGTGTTCCAAATTAAACAGGCATTGTCAGGAACTCATAACAATCAAGTTTACGTAATAAAACGAAGATGGTACGGTTAACATTAGGGCCTATTACATCTTAATTTTATCGAATGCGAAAGTAAATAAACAAAACTCGTCTTCACCTATTCCGAGTACAAATGTGCAAATAAATACAGATAAATTGCTTTTTGTGAAACGTTATTTATTTTTGAAACAATTTTTTGAAAATTTTAGCCAATTATCCTATCGAAAAACAATCAACGTATACGTGCATTTGTATGGGTGTCTATAAAGTTTGTTATTGCAAATGGTACTCGGCGTTCCAGAAAATATCCCTGAAGTCACAACTTCATTCGTTCAGCGGTCGTAGAAAAGTTTCGTTCACATGCTTTCCCACGGCCGCTGCTGTTTGACAAAATAAGAAACATTCCGACAATGTGAACTGCAGTGTTGCGGTTTTATCGTGGTTGATACGTTTTCTTTCGAACGCGAAAAGATAAACATTTTTGCGGCTCGAAACTTTCCTTTCAAAATGAACGAAGAAAACCTGCCGGAAAGCGTTTTCCGGCTGGCGTGTAACCCCGTTGCGCGCGGACTTTACACGGCTCAGTTTTGTGCCTGACAGTTCCTAATATGACTTTTTGTTATTGTTGGCGGCGGAACGCTGCCTCGTCTGCGCCCCCGCCGCCTCCTTTCTATTCATTCCTTCTGCGCCCACCACCAAGAAACATATCGCAAACTAAGATTTCTATGCTGTCGCACGCCCGAGCCAAGAATCATAATGGAAAAGTTTGAGAAAAATTCACTCTATTTGAAGTTGAAGCAACGTATCAGTTCTAACATTTAAAAATCGATGAATTATTATCTATTATTAAACAAAAATTTCTTTATGAATAAACATATTTCTCTGACTATGACCGAATATTGACATTTGTCTTGTGTTCTCTACGTTCCGAACCCCCAGCTCTTATCTGCGCATTTTTGGCGCGCATATAGCTGCATACTGCTGTTATATCAGCAGAGTTCGTTACTTAGATTTTCCAGTCAAAGTAACGTGCTCGCGCATGCTAAAAGTTAATAAATATTATTATTGTTGATGCTACAACATATAATTTATTAATTTTGAGCATGCGCACTCCTTGAAACAGTTATTCCGCATACACGAGCACATGACTCTCAGTGGAAAATCTCAGTAACGAACACGGCCATCAACGATTTCTCAAGCATGCGCAGCAAAGACATAGTGTCTCCAAAGAGAGAGAGAGAATAAATATAGTCAGCACTGTAATGGCCAGAGGATGCTTTCCTATATCAACTGGCCATGAAGGAGTATTACATATATGGTTTCAACTGGAATACATCAAAATATGTATTCGCAAAATTAACAATTCCCATTACCTACATGACAACAATCTGGATACCGAGATACGAGGCGTTAGTGATTTACATACATTAATTAGACATTTAAATACTCTGATGATTTTAGAAAGTACTACATATCATCAGAGGACATAGCTGCACAAATTTTCATTAAAATACCTACAACTATCAAAAACAAAGAGGTCGACTATATATTCTAATTTACTGAAAATAATTCCCTTATTTTAAAGCTACTTTTGTGAGCTAAAAAGAGTTGTGGTAACGCTGAAATATGGTTGTCATTTGTATTTTATGAGGTACTCTAAAAATTGCCCAATCAATAAAACAAATGACAAAAAAAAAAAAAAAAGAGTTTTAGTACTTCGAAAAGTGAACGAAAATTGGAAAGCTTGCCGTTCGCGACAGTCACGTGAACCGATAGGACGTGCTCTAGCAATTTCGTGTCGCCTCTACTCAAGTATTGATGGACGACATTAAGCGGTGGACAAGTCGAGCGTCGGGACGCGCGCGTCGCATCATCGACGACGTCGGTAACGTGAGATCCGCGAGTAAGTGCGCTTACCAAGTCGTGACTTGCATGCGACGTCGCATATTAAGAGCTTTTGAAGGTTAGAAGTCAATAGCAATAGATTACAGCATCGTGGACTCTTATAGAGAGGTGACAACGACGAATCAAGAAAATTGCATCACTCAAAATAATTATTACTTAAGTAAGCTGTAAAAAGGAGGATGATTAGGATAATAAGCAAATAAAGACCTCAAAATTACCATTAAAGGCATTGTTTTTACCCAAAATCTTATTCCCGAGTACTAAGGAAATATATTAAAAAGTGGCACATTACTAGAAAAAAGTTTAGCTTGTATACTAATGGATGATTGAGAGGCCTGTAGAAGCCTGATGACTTCATTCAGCCTAAACCATTGTTTCCAGGAAAATACAATTTGTGGCAATTATTCCTGATATGACGCAAGTATCTACTAAGGACCGATTAGGCATTAAAGACCTAACCCTCAAAGGGATGTAATTATAGTCTAATGTTTGTAAGAACAAAAGGCGATGCAATTATCAATTTTTACAAATTGATTATCATTTCCTCTATTTTATAACTTCATAAAAATTAACAAATCACTATCATTATATTGCCATCTATAGACATGTACTGTCAACCATAGTAGTAGCTAAAGTCTTACCTAACAATTTAAGATGTAGCTGACATACGCAAATCAATTAAATAAAAGACAAAGCTGATGATCAATAATTTATCAAAATCATAGGATATGCAGCGCGATTCCAAGTCGATAATTTCGATATATCACCCATCACAGTTAGCACTAAATATTTTAGACGGCAATGTACTTGATACACTAATCAAATTCTGCCGACTTCTTGGATTTTATTTTAATGGTGGTCATCTATGCACAAAATGTTTTAAAAGCTCAAAGGTATTCAGAAGTAGTTTTTATTTTATCTTGTTGGTTTTGTCAGTTGGTTTCAATTCGTATTATTATTTAAAAAACACTTCTAATAAATTGTTGTAAAACTTATTGTAAATGAAACATTATATTTGATTTCTATATTTAAATTTGCGGCGGAAAAGAAAAGGTTAAAAGCTTTCGAAATGTGGTGTTATAGGCGAATGATGAGGATACCGTGGGTAGAGGCAGAAAAGGTTAGAAATGAAGAGGACTCAATGGAAGTAGATGAAAAATAGGTTGGTAGGACACCTTCTTAGACATGAAGGTCTAGTCAGAGACATATTAGAGGCAAGGAGTTATTTGTGGACCTTATCACCTTTTTGTATTTATTTATAACATTTTTCTACTGTTAGTTTTTTTCGTATAAATTTTGCCATAAACATTAAACTAATGTTGTCCAATGCTCAATAAAATTATATGTTTCTGTTTAAATTAAAGACGATAATGAACACTTTTAGCATTACCGGATTTCGGACGACATCGAAATAATATCAATTAAAAAGTTTATAGACGATTACGTCAGTAACTAAATTTTTAAAATAGATAGTTTCTGGATAAATTTCGTCACTTGAAAGATTTAGTTCTGGCATTTTATAATACTATTTAGTTCGCCTTTAAAAGTCCTTGACACCAGAAAATCTGATCCAACAGAGTTAAAAGGACATATGTTTATGATGCGGCTTGTATTTGGAAAAAAGTTCTAATTCCGGAAACTTCGGTGCACGTCGCCGGAATAAGAATGAGAGCGGGATTACATACGAGTCACGAAAAGGATAAAAAGCAACCTTTTGCAGTTAACGCAAATTGGGTTATCAAAAAGTTCCGCCGAGTGTGGTGACAAGTCCGACTGACACGCACGTCCCACCCTACATACATGCACATCCACACACACACATATATTTATACAAACGGCTACAATTGGCGGCGGTAGTTGAAGAAACTTTTCTCTTTGATACACTAAGTTTTCCACGTCCTCGGTCGTACCGATGATCAACTTTTCTTCAACCACAAAAAGCGACGAACGAGTCAGAAAATTGAAAGGATATTGGCAAATGGTTACGTGAACATTGTAGGGACTAGACGACTTCACAAAAAAATAAATGAAACGAATTTCTTATTTTTGTATAGGTTACAGACATTCAAAACAAAAAAGGGATCAGGATTTCGTACGTCAAAAAGGAAAATCGTGCACCACAGTTCATAATGGGTTAGACACAGTTAAATAACTTTAGAAAAAAAAGGGCGTGGTGGTATATCGAAATTGCGAGAAGCGGATCGCGATTTCGATCTTATTGGATCTCATCAACGCGTCATGAACTTCTTAGTTCGATTTTGATAACGTGCTTATCGCGTATGGTATGTATATTATGTCTGGATGCAGTTCAGGAAGTAGATATTCATTCACGTAAATAAACCTTGTTGAACATATTGTATTCCACTAAATGTAGCATTGTACTACAGATGGCGTTTACCACCCCGTTTGTACGATTTCAAATAACTTTACATCACTAGTCTATATGGAACTCAAAAACATTTGATTTTGTTTTTTTTTTTGTAGCAGGGCATATTTATGTTTGTTTCCATTTATTTCTAAAAGTAGCTACAAGTACGACCATTAGGAGATCGGGACATGACTTTTCGAAATCCTACATGTGCAGTAGTACTAACGTTTGAGAAAATGTCGATTTTGGCATGTAGCTACTAAAAATAGAGCAGTTTTTGATTTCAAGATAATAATGTCAGCTTTGCTATGAAATTCTGGCATATGTATAAGAACAAGTGGGTAATACTTATTACATCTTGTCGACAGGGTAGGGGGGGATGAGCGTGGTCGTGTGCATAACCCTCGCCATATATCAACTTAGATAATTTTACTACGATTCGCCGAGCTTGGCATACAATTTAACAACCCCTTTTTTCCATTCATTACAGTTTTATCTTCGTATTTATGGGCAGCTATGCAGAATGAATATTTACGAACCCGAGTCTCGAAAAAATCCCACTTACCAGGACAGCAGGAAACGCGATCTCGAGAAATACGGGCCTGCCCGCCCGTATTAACCGACAATCCCTTCTAAGCTACGACGATATGTCTACATACGCATTCTACCGGTGAAGGAAACTTACCTGAAACAAATAAATTGAAATATTAAAAAAAACTCTCTAACTCAAAACGGTAACAATAGCAAACGTTCAAGCAAAAATAATTCGTAAATTAAATTAAATTTCGTAAAGAAAAAATAACGTTGTAAGCAGAGTTAAACAAAACCCTTTCGATAAATAAATACAAACAGCGTAGCTCTTAAATTCTGACAATGACAAAACTGTCATTTCAACAATTACATTATGAAAACCTAAAGTTATTATTCTCTATCTCCGCCCAAATCGTTAAATGATACCTGGACACGAAGTAGTAAAATGTTAATGTTGCACCATCAACCCCGCAAGATTACAACAAAGTCGACCGGAAGTGTTATTGAATTTCCATTAACGAATATTTTATGCATAGGAAGTGATCGCATAAAGGATCGTCATTAAGCGACAAAACGGCCTACTTGCATCGATAATGGGAACAAACAGCTTTTAGTGTCACCAAGATAATGGCTTCTAATTGCTCATAAAAAAAAAAAACGAAGTACCTACATAAATTGCGGGTACACATTTAGATATTTTAATTTCGTATCGTTATAGAAATGCATTAGACCAAAGGCTACTACCACTACTAAAAAAAATACGTCTTTGAGATGATACATGGTGTCTCTGAAATAAGTTGACTGTTTCCAAAAAAAAAAACAGAACTACAGGTAAGGGCCTTTACAATTGGATTAAGCTATGTGTGATTCAGTCAATCTTTGATCTTTAACGTTTTAACATGATTTAACTCGTGTTTTTTTTAACGACATTCCCCTTAACCACGTTGGTGTACTAACCTTGCGCTTCCTTATTACATCCAGTTAACAACCTTCAAAGCTCCACATTTATTTTAGAAACACCCTGTAGATCGAAAAGTGGACTGTTTCGGCATTCGAAGTGTAAAATCTAATAGTAAACTACGCATTTATTATTTTTCTATGAACATAATTCAGGACATAACAGGCGGGCTGACAATTTCGTAGGCTAGCATAGAAAAAATTATTTTTTTTTGATAGAATTTGATTTTATTATTCATATAGTTCAGATATAACGATTATAGCGGTCATACAATTTTTCGATACCATTTTTACAATACGATTTGTCTTTAGCCTCAAAATAGGCTTCAGTTTCGGCGATTACCTCTTCATCGGCAGGAAATTTTGGTCCAGCGAGCATCTTCTTGAGGACTGAGAACAGATAAAAGTCACTGGGGGCCAGACCTGGAGATTACGGTGGATGCGGAAGCAATCCGAAGCCCAATTCATGGAATTTTGCCATCGATTTCATTGATTTGTGACAAGGTGCACTTTCTTTTTCAAACAACAAAAGTTCTTTCACTAAAAATGTTATAACTCAGATACTAATAGTGCAACAGCTGTCAGATTTATATACGTGTCTTTTGAATATTAGGGCTAACCAAAAATTGTATGGATTTGATACTAGAAGAGCCTTATATGGGTCAGCCTACGAACTTTTCAGCCCGCTCTTGTATCTGTCCCTATAAAAAAGGATGGCGTGTGACAGTAAAAAAACTAAAACCTTATATATTCCTATTGGACATTTAGACAGTATGTGAAAGAATATAAAGACCTAAGGAGAATTATTTGAGATGCTTCTTGTTTTGCAGTGAACGAATAGAGAACTCATTAGGTGACTAGTTCAAAAACTGAATGGGCATGCATCTCTGCTTCTTCCAACATATCTTGAAGCAATCTTTGTATTTGCTGAAAACCACATCCTTAACTGCTTCCGAAGAAAAGTCTAATGTTCCTCTGCATTTTGCTACTCCTGCTTCTACATTAAATATACCTATAAGTAGTTCTTCATGTCTCATAATGAGTCCTGTCATCATACCTCATCTTTTTTCTTATTGACTTCATTGACCCCTTTGTTCTCCTACTTTTCCCAATACAATCTAATTTCTAATCTTTTTTATCCACGGTATCTTTAATGTCATTTATTTCTCTTTCTGCTTATTCAATGATTTTCATTTTCTGGAGTGACCACAGGAAAATCCAGTAGAATAAAACAGTTGAATTGTTTCAAAATATCCTACAAAAGGTAGGGCTTCCGATTCTTTGCAGAATTATGAGGCATTTTCTTTCTTTCCAAGTATTAATTTTGATCGAAATATCTGTTTACATTTGCATTTCACAATGGTTTGTTTTTGAAAGATACATAAACTAAAGAACAACTGACCAACAGAAAAAGTATTAAAAAAGTATTGTTCCAACGTAATATTTTTGTTTAGCTTTAGAAAGTCAAACGAATAGAATACGTGTATTTCTACTAAATTCTCATTTTACTTTTATTTGCCAGCAGCCATCTTTCTGAGGAAGGAAGCGCAGACTATAAATAAGTAACGTGGACTATTCTGCTTATTAATGTGAATCTTCACATAAAATGTAAAATATAAGTTACAGGAGTTTTTCTCTTCCACGAAATTCCTTTAATCCTGTATAAAATACTAAATTTTTCACAGCCACCAGCATAAACATTAATAGTATTATTGCTGTACCGATTCTGTAAGACATATTAGCCCCAAGAAACAGTAAATTGGACAGCTACCAAAATTAAAGTTGTTATACTGTAAAGCTTTACCATTCATTATCATAAGGTCGTCAGTCCTAAGACTGGTTGGACTCGCACCTTCACTTTTTCCTATCATGAGCTAATCTTCGCATTTCCCTAAAGGTAGAACATCCCATATCCTTAACTATCGTAACTGTAAGCAGTAATGTAATCTATATCTGCCTCGACTCCTCTTAACTCCTGTTTCTGCTTCTAATATGTCTCTAACTGATCCATCATGCCTGAGTAAGCATCCTATTGACTTCTATAGTGATCTCTGCTCTCCTATTCTGTCTAATACCTTCTCTATACACTGTATTCTCATCATCCGCCTATAGGACCACATTTCGAACGCTTCTAACGTTTTCTTATCCACCGCGCCCACTGTCCACGTTTCGCACCCGTACAGCGCCGTACTCCAGATATACACCTTCAATAATCTCTTTCGAATTTCTAAATTAACCGTTCGTGAGCATAAGAGTGACTTCTTATCTTCTGTTTTACATCTCTACTGTACTGATCCTTTCATCCTGATGTACGTATCTTCTTCATCACATACGATATTGTATGAGTGCTTGCCGTATTTGTGTGATTAATATGTTTTGTCATATCTTAACTTTTATAAAAGAAATTTCACTTCAAAGCAATCATTCTCCTTTATATTAGGATAATCACCTGCTTTCTATTGGTAATAAGGGTCTCAGCTAAGCGTCTTGGCGCGGCATAAATATTGCCTTTAACATTCGCCGTATAAACGTTATTCAGGTGAAAAGAAGGTAAAAGCTCGCCGGGTTTTTGGCAGTAGACGCAAACCGGCAGCTTTCGAGCGTATGATGAGATGTTTTCCCCTGGGCTAGGCTCGAGATTGGCTCCGAGCCAGTGCCAAGTTTCCAGAAAATTCCAAATATGACATACATATCAATAAAACGCCATCCATTAGCGACATCCTAGAGGCAATATCTAAACTGTCGTCGACCCATGCCTTCAATAAACGATCTTCTTTTTTATTTATAAACAATCAACTATGACCTGATGTCCTATTTTTAAACTACGACTGCAATCAAGGAGAAATACTATACAAAACACACAACAACTGCTTGCTAACAAATGATTTTAAACGATTTTAATAAAATCTAGATGATATCTTTCGCATTACACCTATCCATACTCTTTTAATAAAACCTACATGACAACCTACATTTTGCACTAAATATTAACAAAACTACATACGAAAATAATCAATCCAGTATGGGGCAACCCAAACACACCTCTTTCTTTTATTTCATTTTATTCTACTAGTTACGAAATATTTTATGAATCTAGCTAATTATTTTTGCCAATTTAACTGTCCAATTACACTTTTTGACTATATAAAATGTTTTCTTTTTTGTCTGAGCTTAAACCAAAGTATTACGTGTCATGTTTCGATTAAAAAAAAAACTGCTAAAAACGACCTTTATTGATTGAACACACTTCCGGTTAGGATCATCAATCATTGACAGTTAAACGGTTGCTTACGATCATCGGGATACCGAATGTGTTTCACTGTGTTTGTAGCTCATCAGAGTGAGACGCGATGGTCCGTGAACTAGATAAGTAGGAGTTTGCAACATTATCAATCAACATGCAGTGATATAACGGTGAATATTCTGAAGTTTGACATTGATTAGCAAAGGAAATTGGTCTCGTCTCTCTGAGCATATACTGCAACAACTATTTCAAGACATAAATGTAAGGTAATCAATAAACAGAAGGAACAAATGTGCTACAAGTAGTCAAAGTTAGCAGGTGTTCAAGACCAGTTCAAGTATTCCTTTATGACAATGATTTTAAACACAGGTGCATGTCTTGCTTTGTTGCAGACTTGCAGGGGCTTCAGGCCAAAGCACTATTTTATTGACCATGCTTATACCTGGCAATACCATATAGTATAAAGATATTGTACAGTAGGTTCAATTCCCGTCGAACCATATACATCCTGCCCACGCTTCACAATTTCATCTACGAGTTCTCCGTTAAGCAGAAGTGTCATCGTGAAACCACAGTACAAAAGGATTTTGTATCCAAACACTTGTCAGTATTTTAGACAGATCAAAGTAGTGAACCTACTGTATAGAATCTTTATATTGAGGCAAAATTTTTGCAGTACAAACCTAAGGTATCATTATCGAGTACGAAAGTGCAAAGCGCTTTTTCTTTATTTTACTTTATCCTTTATGTCTTATGGAAAAAATATTTTTGAAATTTAGTTTATTGCATTCATGAATGTACAGAACTCGAGATTTTTTCAAATTGTGTAGAATCCCAGACACCTTGGTTATTTAATTTAACTGAATAATCCAAGAAAATCGAATATCTACCAACATATGGGTAATTTTTGGCGAATTGTTAACTAGCCCCTATATTTACCGTCGGTAGTTATTAAAACTGCGTATTTGGTGAGAGTAAATAACCAGAAGAGAACATTTTGGAACGAGTCAACGTATTCAAGAGCCTTAATCTACGATACAATAAATTATGATAAGCTGAATTATCTTAAAATTCGTAGCATAAGACAATGCTATGCATTTAATGCTATCAAAACCTCTCCTCCAAACTTGTTGAATAAAGATTGGCTCGATTCCAGTGGTAATCCACACATGTAAGGGTGTTGAAAGAAGTGACAGTCTGTTGTCTCAAATTTTGGACTACATATTTTGAAGTCAATTAAAATTTCTACTACCAAATTTTCCTCAATATCCAGAAGGCTTAAAAACTTGACCATCAATTAAAAGGAAAATGTTCTTCTTGAACTATTACACCATCGCTTTGTGTTGTTACCTACACGGTTTAAATGAAGGACTAGAAACGAAAGTTTACTTTCGTTAAATCTATAAACGTTAGCGTGCTGTAGCTTATAATCCCTTGATAACCACGAACCCAGCATTTCGTGTAAAATCGACTCGAATTTTCTCCGGTCATCACGCTATCGAGTCGATGCCATTCAGCTTTACCGTAATTAAACAACCAAAAAAAGGCTGTAATTATTTATAGCCTTGTAAATTTAACCGAATCTTGAATCAACTATTTCATTTATATCCATTTTTCAAAAGTGTAGAATTTCAACTTCCATTTTCCTTTGTATTTATTTGAGATACGTATTTAAAGCAGCTAAAAACGAATTTTAATAAAACAAATATTTATACATATCTTTTTTCTCTGATTTTAAAATATTCTCTGTTTCAAAAGTTGCTACTACCACTGATTAATTTTCTGATGCCACTATGTTACTGCTAAAGATACTTTACACACTTTTATTAATTGATTGTAGTGCAAGACGGAGACTAAGACTGACCTAGTCTTACTATTGGTCTTGGTCTTTCTTATTCGGTCTTGGTCTTCGTCATGAGTGTTAACTGTTGATCTTGCCCGGCCAATCTGATACTTACGTTTGACCTTTTTGCGAATAAAATACTACAACGTACTTGAAAGAAGTAAAAAACAAAGAACACTTACTCGGAGGACATTCTTGTAGATCCCTTTTTTCAAAAAAACGGTAAGGACTCTTTTTTTATTTGTTTAGTGTTAAAACCTAGTAAAGCAAATTGGAAATTTCAAATATCAAAAATGTTTTGTTCCAAGAAGAGAATATATTAAAGCTGCTTCAAATAGTTTAACTCATATAAATCCATTGGAAGTAATAATTTTTCGTTTAGTATTGCGTAATTGATATTGGCCTTGATTGACCAAGACTAAGCCTTAGACAAAAATTTTCAGTCTCTCTCCAGTCCCTCAGAGTCTTTCAGGGTCTCTGAGAGCATCTCTCACAGTCTTTCACAGTTTCTCAGTTTTTTTTTGATCTCTCACAGTCTCTGGATGAGAGACTCGAACGATAAAATTGTTAATTCAGAGATTCGAGTCTCTCACAGAGAGATTGAATTAATAAAACTGAAAAATTGACAGACCCGACGACTGTCTCTGAAATATGTTGAACTTAGGAAATTTTAACCCTGTCTATCGAGACACCACTTATTGAGAGATTCGAGTCTTTCGTTCAGAGATTCGAATCTCTCGTTCAGAGACTGGATACGAAATGAGGATCTCTCTGTGAGCGACTCGAGTCTCTCGTTCAGAGACGCTAAATGAGGATCTCTGTATGAGCGACTCGAGTCTCTCGTTCAGAGACGCTAAACAGTTTCTTTGACAATATTTCGACAGTCTCGAGAGAGACTCGATAAGAGACGGAGACTCGAGTCACGCTTTCAGAGACTCTGAGAGACTGAACATTTTTATCTCAGGAGACTGCAAGACGAAGACTAATTTTGCTCGTAACTAATTGATTATTTTTTCAAAGAATGACTTAAATGAGAGAATGTTTAGTATATCTTTATATAAAAATTATGGAATAGATACTAATACATTAAGTTTAACAAAAAGAAGTGAAGAGTTTCACCTGCAAACTAACAGAATACAGACACGAACATCTAATGCAACGAATGAGTGGTTGAGGGATGATGTGACACAGTGTAAACAGGATAAAAAAAAAACAAAACAGCTAACGTCAATTGACACCTTCCGAGTCTACACCAACAAAAATAATAATATAAACAGCTCTTGTGCCGTGATGCAAAAAACAAAAACACAATGACAACAACATCAAATGAAAGGTGACGACAATAATTAACAACGACACTTAAAAAAAAATGCACGTTACAACAAGTAGTGTGAATGAACAAAAAGAAAACGGCACAATTAAAAACAAAAAAGAAAAGAGAAACAAAGTTTTAAAGAGACACATCGATATTTCGTACCACAAAACCACCATTTGCGCAAGTGGGGGATTTCGACCGGGACCTGCCCGAGTCGCCAGCTAGATGGCGCTGCGGTCAGTCCCTGGAAAAGACAAAAAGGAAATCAGTTTATTCGCTACATTATCATATCAGATCCACTACACCAACGTAACAATTTTCCACTTCTTACAAATTCAAATAAAATTGATGTAAATATTCTCAGTCTGCAACTACCAGATCTGGATCGCGATTTCGAGTTTATGTGGCAGTTGAGCTGAATCACCTACTAAACCGAAATTGACAGCAGTTCGAGCTTTTTAGATTTCATCAGCACGCCATAAGCAGTTTCAATAAATCACCAATCCAAGCAAACGTGTTCCGCAAAATACAGTTGATATAATATCAAGATGAAGACTGCTGACGTGCTGATGGGAACAATGATTTCAAAATTGCGATCCACGTGCGAACAAGAACTTAAACGTTTCTTACGTGCCATTACGTATACATATAAATAATCTATTCTAAATCCTTAGTCTGAACACTAATTTCTTTATTCTTAGGTGAAATATAACCCAAAGTGTAAGTATTTCCAAAACAGTTCGAAAATGCTTGAAACTAATCAATAATAGTAATTACGTCTTTAGACGTGTCGACCAAGTTTAATGTGCATATGTAGGTACATAGTAGGTACCTCTAGAACATGCAACATTTTCCTATTAATTTTAATTACTAGTCTGCTACTCAGCTTTAAGCGAAGTCAATAAAGTTTTGTGACGTCATAAAAATTTCAAATTAGCCTGTCTCACTAGAAATTCATAACTTCAACTCGAAAGATGACATTTAATTGACGTATTACGTTGAAGGAACGCTCGCAGAAATTGCAAAACACATCGTAACTTATTCAAAATACTCCAGGAAATATTCCCCAGTTAATTGCATCAATAATTTTTAATTAAAACAAACAAAAAAATGAATATACTGTACAAGACATGAAAAAATGTACGATTTTGCGTTACAGTAATGTACGCAAAGAAACATGAATATTTGTATCTGAGGAAATTTACAAGTTGTATTTTAGTGGATGAAGATTTAGACAACTTCTAAACAAAAATAATGTATATTGGAGTGTAGATTGAAAAAGCCCGAACAGCTGGTAAGAGAACTAAGTTAGGTACTAAGAAGCATCTGTTTCACTTTCTAGCTCAAAAGTTTTACGTACAAAACGTCTAAAGGTGCGTACACATCTGAACACGAACACGTTCGTGGTAAATTGGGGCGGCACACATGCCTGATTTGTGTCCTGAAGAATTCTGAATAAAATCGGTCGAGGCAACGAACGCGGCAGAATTTTCTTTGAAGTACCGGTTTAGACCGAGAGTTTTCGGCACCTTAGTTACACGTTCACAATATACGTATTTGTTCTGCTTCACCTTGTCTCGAATGAATAGTCATCTGTATAAACACCTTTAATTCTATTTAACACACAGCTTTTTGTTTTGTTTGAAATAGGTAGAGAGTTTCTGAGACAATCATCTGCTTTTCTTTCGATTTATTTATAGACCATGGCGGGATAGAAATTTAATTCCTCAACCCTTTTAAGCCACATCAGCCGATAGTCATCTCCCAATTTAAATAAGTACGGTTTGATAGATTACAACTTTACATTCAGTGACTGAATGTAGTAAGTATACCTAAAAACTTTGCCAGACCTTTGTACGAATTTATGTATGCAATTCCAACTTTATGTGAATAGAATTTAATTTCATAACAGAACAATGTAGTTTTGTGTCTTACACCAAAAGTATACCATTTGGTGGCATAATAACGTTATACTCAGTGATTTTAAACCATTTCATTTTTATGCACTTTATCATCAACATATTAGAGGCAGAAACGGAAGTTAGGAGGGATAGAGGTAGATCTAGATTAGATTACTGTTCGCAAATAGTTAAGGATATGGGTTGCTTTAGCTGTAGAGGTAGATCCTAAAACCCCTCTACCTTAGGCCGTTCTAGGATCTACCTCAGGCCATTCTAGTTGGTCCTAGAACGGCCTGAGGTAAAGGGGTTTTAGTCGGTAGGTTCGAAGACTTCTTCCTCGGGAATCCGACACTACCGATTTCCCCTCTTCCACAAAAACATAAAAAAAAATCTAGCTGTAGAGAAATGCGAAGATTAGCGCAGGATAGGAGAGAGTGGAGGTGCGAGTCCAACCAGTTGTAGGACTGACCTTATGATGATGATCATCATCAACATAGGACCGTCAGTCCTAAGTTTAGCTGGACACTACTCTTTCCTATCCTGAGCAAATCTTCGCATTTGTCTAAAACTAGAACATCCTACATTCTTAACTATTTGCGAACAGTAATCTAATCTGGGTCTACCTCTACTTCTCTTAATATCTGTTGGTGTTTCGAAAATGTCTCTAACTAGCACTTCATGCCTGAGAAGGTGTTCTACCAACCTATATCCCATTTTTCATATATTGACTTGTGCCCTCTATCCTCTTACTCATTTTTAAACCCTCTCATTTTTAACCATCTTTATCGTCATTTCGAACGCTTCTAACCTCTTCTTTTCCGCCGCTCCCACTGTCTATGTTTCGCACCCGTACAATGCCGTGCTTCAAACATACACCTTTAACAACCTTTATCGAATTTCTAAATTAACCATTCGCAGGCAGAGAAGCAACTTCTTTTTGTTAAAGGCAACTCGACCCTGCGCTATCCTCTGTTTTATATCTCTACTACTCCTTCCATCGTAGATACCAAAAATCAGCAACTACTTGTAATTTATCTTTATCTTTATATTCACCTTTTTCTTAGCAATAATTCATTTAACCTTATTTATTTTTATACCATAAACTGTTTTGTCAATTAGACAATTAGAATTTACTAAACAAAATTCTATGTGCTTCCTGTACATATATGTCGACTCAATTACTAATCTGTTGAAAGATATGACTAACATTGTACTATCTGCGAGGGTCAGAAGAAACAGGAGCACACCGACGTCTTCTGATTTCAGAAAGAATAAGCGATGATAATGAAGAAAAAGTAGAAGAGGAGCAAGAAGACGAATAAGGTAGGAAAATAAGATCGAGGGATGAAAAGAACATTTCCAAGCCGACTGAGACTGTAACTGTATTAAGGTGATGAAGCGTAGTCAGGAACAAGTTACCCGAACTTTTGCGCTTTATCAAAAGTTGTTATAAAATTAGTTCGTGATAAACGGACATAAATTCGTCTTGCCTGTCTGTCCGTCGTTCTCGTCGTGCCACTGCCGTTCGTTCGTACGTCGCTGATAAACTTTTTTCAAAGCGAGTGGCAGATAAACCTTGTATTCCCAACTAGGTAAAAAAAAGGAAACGAGCTGGCCGGTTATCCCCCCCGGCTATCGCGCATCCAACGAATAAAAAGTTGCCAACTTGTCGGAACGTAAGACGCGAAAACAATTGCTAAGTAATAGTGTTTCTACATGCAATTGCCACGGGCGTTCCTTTGTTCGAGAACTTTCGTGTTCTAAATGGAACTTTTGGCTACTCTTTCACACAGAATGAAGAAGACGACGGCCACGACGACGACAGTATATTTATGTGTAGGTAACTGCACACGTGGGTGTAGGAATATGTAACAATCCACAAAGACAGGCCACTTTTGTTTATACGATCTAATTGTATCAACAAATACCTTTGAGTAACTAAAGCAGTAAAGATTAAAAATATATCTAATCGTCATCATCATCATAAGGTCGTCAGTCCTAAGCCTGTTTGGACACGCACCTCTCTTCCTTTCTATACCGAGCTAATCTTCGCATTTCCCTAAAACGAGAACAACCCACATTCTTAACTATTTGCGTACAGTAACCTAATCAGGGTATACTTCTATCTCTCCTAACACCGAGCCGCATGACCTAGAGGTCTAGACCATTGCTTAGCATTCGGGAGGACGCCGGTTCGATTCCGGGTCCGTCTGCCTTGGTCCAAGTTTTTCTGTGGTATCCTTGGATCACTTAGGCAAATGCTGGGGCAGTAATATTCCACAAATAATCTTTCATTCTCTTTTGTCTTCATTTTGTCCGTCTCATCTTTCTCACCCGAACCACCACCCACCCATTCCCACGATTCCTGAAAGCAGGCTGAAGAGAGCCTTCCGCCCCACCTTCCGGCGTAGTCCGGAGGGACTGCCCGTCCACCAGCATTACTAGCTGGTGGGAATGAAACACCCAAAAAGTCCCTCCTAACTGACCAACAGTCGGGATACAGTTTTAGTAATGTATCTAATTATATTCGTACTTACGTAGAACTCAGCTAAAGTATCTGTAGCCGCGAGAAAGGTATGCGCAGTGACAAAGTAGAAGGGATGTAACTAAAATTTAAAATTGTTGAGTATTGTGTACAGCCTGCGTAAAATTGGTGTAATATGAAGTGACCAATGTCGGAGGCGGCATGAAAATTTTAATATTAAATTTTATACACTACATAATTTTAGATTCAAACATGATCCCATTTTTTTTTGCACATTGAATAAACTAACTTAACAAAAGGTATTGTTTATGATGCTCTCAAAAAAAGTGACTGGAACCAAAGTATCTAAATTTTGAGCATTCAGCTATCGCGTGTGTTAAATGGAACAACTTCGTGCCTTTTAAACAACAAACTGTTTTGTTCTTGAGTCAATATACATTTTTGATTTATATCTCAATTATTCTAAAATTATACTCACACGAAATTATTCCCATTCTGAAGCCGTTTCGTTTACGACCAAATAAACTTAGTATTCGTGGGTAGCGCTTTGGTTAAAACCACAATTATTATACACTAAATTCAATTGTTCCAAATAATTCGTAATTATACGCGTTGTTATTCAAAACGATTTTACTAATATATGTAAGCAACAATCGGTCAATAAAGAAAACATCAACACTAACAAAAAATAGGACTCGATTCATAATATTAACAATTGTATGCTAACCAACCAAACTATCGAAATTAATTGTCCCTATTTTAGGTTCCCCCAAAATGCAAGACAATCAAATTAAATTCTGTGAAACTGAGCTACACCACTACATACT